GTCACTTTCCAACACTGCATTGTTAGGAGGCGCTTAATTTGCAGAGTGCAGTTCCTTGCGCTGCATTTTCATATGGGAGGGACCGAACTCTGCGGAAAAAAAAGCCCTGATGCCAAGTATTCAGACATCTGCTGAGTCTGGCTGGAACTGGGTCCAGAGGGATGAAGGGATAGAAGGAGAGCGAAAGATAAGTGGTGCTGGGAAAAAAATGGGGGGGGGGGGGGCAAACGAGAGGAGCTGGGGTAGGCAGGAACAGAGGGGACAGTGGATGTGAGCGAGCGATAACGGGATAGGGAGATAAATGGATAAAAGACTGAGCGGAAAAAAGAGCGAGGGATGACAGGATTAGGGCTGTAAGTGAGGAGGATGAGAGGATGAATAGGGGATGATCTCAGGGATTAAGTACACACACAGAACACAGTAACAAACACAAGGAGCCAAGCACAAATACATGCACACAATGTACACACAGATGTGCTCTGATTGGATTTATTGTGGCACACCTTGGCAGGCAAACAAAGGCTATATCCATCTAAACTAACAAAAGCAAAGCCTGCAATCTTCATACAGCACATCAAACAATGATCAGTAACCCAAACTGAACGATTCTATGGCAATAATCCAAATCATTGTCAGGAGAATTGCACATCAGGGACAGTTATGGCTCCCATCAGACCTCAGTTTCTGCAGAATGACAGTAAAGGTTGAAATGGACATGTTCTCTTCTGATCCGTTTAATGCAAATAGCCGCAGATTGACATGGATGGCTCTAAAAGTCAGAATGGCCATGGACCTAACCCCCACGCTCACACACAGCATCAGGGACCCACAGAAGCCTGTCACCGTTTAACACGCTCATATTGACACAGGCAGACCTACAGGCAGTTCAAACACGCATAAATAATATAAGACAGGAGCATCACCAAGACAAATGCACTGCAGCAATGAACAAGCCAATCTTCCTGAGCTAGGCTTGGCTAACTCTATTTGCATGATACCCAGAGAGGTCTTAATGTGTGTGTGCTCAAGGGCAGAATATATCAGCAGTAATCACTTTTAAATCATATATAAAACAAATGCAGAAGTGTGTGATGGCTCTGAACTGAACAGAACACTAGAGGAGTTCAAATATACTGCACATTAGCTGTGCTCCCTGCTCAGGTATTTGTCTTGCAAGCAGATGGATCTGTGTGATTCTGTGCCCTGCAGGCAAGCCATGATCATAAATAGTTGTTTCAGTTTCAACTGCTTGCCTTTAATCGCTTGCACTATGTTTGTTTTGTCTCGTCAGGTGAGCATCCAACCAAAAAATAATCACAAGGGACCAGAAATTCTAACCTAAAGGAAATTCATTTAAAACTTTATAGAAAAATTGTTAGTGTATCAGTTACCTCTGTTAAAAAGGTAAGAGAAGACACACAGAGTCGAGCAAAGAAGAAAAAAGAAGGCAAGAGCGAGTTGAGGTCTAGCAGATTCACCCATTTTGCGATGAGGGGAGGATGGCTGGGGGTGTGGGGGGTGCACAAGCTCACAGACCAACACCCCCCTCCTGTGGTACTGCCAGAGAGCTGCACATCCCAAACAGACAGAGACACATGCACACTAAAATCTACACTATCTCTCCAAACATTTAAATGTGTTGGCACACACGCACACACATACAGGTCCTGAAAAGGTTCAAGTTACATGCTGCGCTCTGCTGCTGGAACGTAAATAACAAATCAGCTATCCGCACACATAAGGCACTGATTACTGGGAGCAACATGCATGGCAAAACACAATGAGAACAAAACCGAGAAAACGTAGGAAAAGATGAAGAGCGGGAACGTGAAAGGATAGGAGTCGTTTTGTGAAAAGACCCTGCATGCAGAGAGTGTAAAGCTTAACTCGAAGCAGATGAGAGGATGATTTCTTTTAATTTTTCAAAGATCAAGTCACTACCAGCTCTTCTGTTCAACGTTTTCACAGACATCATTTCTGAGGCTGAGAGGAACATTTGACAAATTCATACAGCAGCCTAATCCTGCTTTTGGACTATTTGACAGCATATATGGTCATAAATATGTAAATGTTTTAAAGCATTTACCGTTTAATCATCTCAAAAATGTTTCTATGTTGTGTCATAAAAATAGAGAGTTCAAAATATAAAGTGCCACATCAGAATTAATGTATGCAATAGATATTGCAAGATTCCAATAAATTACACAAATTGCATGTCCATAATGTATTTAGCAATCAAGAGAGCTCATTTAAATAAAAGTAGCTGAGACACTAAAATACATGGGAAGTGTTGTGACCTCTGAGGAAGTATTTAATCAGGTCTCTCTTGTAAATGAGTCCTCGAGGCTCAATGGGATTTACCTGTATAAATAAAGGTTGATTGATTTATTACAGATAATATGGTCATTGCAATATTCAGTATTATCACATGTGCCTATTATTGTGCGGTCCTATAAAAAAATCAAACTAATAAAAAAAAACATTAAAAGGACTTGCACTCTAATGTCCACCTCAGTCCGTCCTGAAAATTTCCCCAGCTCAGACTTTTAGAAAAACAAATTAATCTGCATCTGGTACCCTATGTGTCATTTATAGAGTGTCTGTCTGAATTTATTTTATCCATACATCTTTTTGTGCTCGCTCTTATAATTTTAAGGGGAAATGTTACCAGCTGTTATGTTCGGATCATCAATGAGTGTTTTTAACAGCTTTGATGTCTGTGGACAACGGTTTTTATTAAAAATCAGTTTAAAAACAGTGATAAAAAGCTGAAGAATAAAATGTAGGCCCCTTTTTTAAAATCACTAAGCTGATGTTTCTGACTGATAAATATGTTACACTAAGAAGTTACTCATATTTCTGCATGTATATTTTGACACTTCTGCAACACGTGGCAAATTGATTTATCCTTTCTGCAACAAACTTGACTCGTAACATTGGCCTTTTATAAAAATGCATTTTACTTCCCTGAATTAGAAAGTCATGCAACTTTAAAGAGAAATTAGGATGTTGTGTTTAGTTGAAGCACCTCTTTAAGGTCTGAGAAAACTCCTATGAAATCAGACAAGAGATTTTTCCAATATATTTCCTCTTTGAAGTTTTCTTAAAAATATTGTTCAATCTTTTCTCAACTTGTGAGCCAAGTGTCATGTTGCACGTCTAATATTCACGACTTGTTTAATTGTTTTTATCAAGCCTTTGACAGAATAGAATTCAAAATCCTACTTCTAACCTACAAAGCTCTCAACAACCTAGCTCCATCTTATATTACAGATCTTATTGTTCCATATTTTCCTAACAGAGCACTTCACTCTCAGGCTGCAGGTTTACTTGTGGTTCCTAGAGTTTACATAAACAGAATGGGAGGCAGATCCTTCAGTTATCAGGCTCCTCTCTTGTGGAACCAACTTCCAATCTCTGTCCGTGAGGCTGACACATTATCCAGTTTTAAAACTAGGATTAAGACTTTCCTTTCTACTAAATCCTATAGTTAGGGTCGGCTTGGGTTTCCTGAGCTGTCCTTAAGCCCCTTATCCACAGGGCTGGTTCTTGTTGGACCTTGTTGTGTCCGGTTCTGGTGGGACCTCTTTTTTTCTGTCTCCACAGTGCCCATAGTTCCCGTTTAGTGGGCGGATTGTTCACCCCTAGTGGGCGGATTATTAATATCAACGCACCTTACCAGCTGGTGGCGCTAGTGCTACATTAAGCTCTTTTCTAAGCACCACTAACATGTATTAGAAGAAGAAGAGCTGGAAAACAACACACAACCAAAATGGATGACCTCCTTGATCTCCGCCCTCCACCAATGAATACGCCCCCTGACCAATCAGTGACCTACAGTGCGCTGATGTCACATCTAGACCCAACAAGAACCAGACCTGGGACCTCAGAGAAGTAGGGCCCAAAAATGGGGTGGGTTCCACTGCTGAAGGCATTGTGGATAAACCACGCAATCGGCCCGAACTAGTTACATAGGAGCCCCAAAAGGCCCTGTGGATATGGGGCTTTAGTTATGCTGCTATTGGCTTAGACTGCTGGAGGACAAATAGACTACACTTTTTCACTCTGCTACTGTCTTTACTTACTCTGCTCAACCTGTTTTGTGTTTGTAATTATTTTTTCTTTCCTTAACATGTTTTTTTTGTCTTTCAGATACACCTGGACCTACCATTCTGTGTTCGTCTGTCTGTCCTTCCTGTCCTCTCAACCAGCCGGTCAAAGCAGATGGCTGCTTGTCCTGAGCCTGGTTCTGTTGGAGGTTTCTTCCTTTTAAAAGGGAGTTTTCCTTTCCACTGTTGCCACTGTGCTTGTTCAGGATGGGAGACTGCAACGAAGCCAAGATTCAACTTGTCTGCTGGATTCCTTAGATAGAGAACTTTACTAATTGGCTTTTTTATGTATGTGAATGGGGCAACACGGTGGCGCAACTGGTAGAGCTGCTGCCTCTCAGCGAGCAGGTCCTTGGTTCAAACCCCGGTCCAGGGGCCTTTCTGGGAGGAGTTTGCATGTTCTCTCCGTGCATGCGTGGGTTTTCTCCGGGTACTCCGGTTTCCTCCCACAGACCAAAAACATGCATGTTAGGCTGATTGGTAACTCTAAATTGTCCCTGGGTGTGAGTGAGAGAGTGAATGGTTGTTTGTCTCGTGTGTCTCTATGTGTCCCTGTGATGGACTTGCAACCTGTCCAGGGTGTACCCCGCCCCTCGCACAGTGATTGCTGGACATGGGCACCAGCGACCCCCGTGACCCAAAATGGAATAAGCGGGTAAAGATAATGGATGGATGTGAATGTTCCTGTAAAGTGCCCTGAGACAACTTTGTTGTGATTTGGCGCTATATAAATAAACTGAATTGAATTGACATCTTACAAACAGAATTTGACAGAATTTGATTTTCAGAGAACAGAAAACCAACATTTGTTGACAGAGTGGAGGATAATGTACCAAATAATTTCACAATTTATTTTAACAGAAATTTCCAAGTAAATAGCCAATCTCTTACCTGACTGTGAGGTGGGTATCCATGGTAACCAGGGTTCAAAGGCTCGTCGTTCTGCAAGAAAAGAAAGAGGAGGGATGAGAACAGCGTAAGTTGCAAGGCATTTTAAAAATAAACTTAAACGTTACAGATAAACAGAAACTGCCTCAAACCTGGCCTGTTTTTAAACTGACAGGAGGAATAAAGCATTTGAAGATGGTGGATGGTACCAATAGACTTTTACGGCATTCTAAGATATTAATAGTCACAATTAAAACCAGAACTTACGTTACTTAAAATGTTTAATACTTTAAATTCTGATATTGTTTTCCAGTGTTTTACTTTCTATAAGTAAAATTGTGCTAGTGAAGAAAACAGTTGATAAAAGGATGAGAGAATTCCCTGAAGGAAAAACAGAGTGAATTAAGCTAACACTTAATCTGTCTGAACTCATAACTGCAAAGTTTCGTTCAACCCACAAGCTGCCCCCCACCCACCCAATCACTCACCAACCCCACTCAGAAAGCCCCTGTGTTGGTTAATTGCTCTATAATCACTTTTAATTAGATTAGTTCGGTCTCTCGCACTCTCTTCTCATCTCTTATTTTCTTTTCTGTGCCATTTTTGCCCCGGTTATAAGAGCCATTGTCTGCTGCAACGCTACGGTAGGTGAAAGGGGGAAGGGGGAGGAGATGGGTGGGTGGGGGACAATAGAAACAATGAGGGAAGTTAACTAAACGATGATATTTTGACAGCAGTGAGATGACTCCAGCACGGTTTAGCCTGCTGGCATGCCTTACAGAGAAAACATGGCCGCCTACTGAGGTTCATGTCTCTGCACTCGAAAAGGAGCTGAGGCAAGAAAGGAGGGTGGGTGAGAAGGGTGAGGGTTAGGGAGAAAGACTAAAAGGGTAAAAGAAAAAATTATGTGCGTGTCTGTGCATGAGTATATGCTGGGGAAAATGGGTGAATTAGTGATGCTTAGAGCTCCTGGGGCCTCATGTAGAAAGAGTGTGCAGCTTTCATGCTGAAAGTTGGCAAAACTTTAAAAGTTTGTAAGGACAAAAATAGTCAGATTTGTAAAACCATGTGCACGCATGTTTCTGCACACCTTTCCTTTATACATACAGCTCACTTGGACCGCCATGTCTGACAAAGCTGAGGTCAAGAAACGAGTCGCTGCATTGACTGAGTGTTTGAGCCACAGTGTAGGAAAACTCAATATATCTGGTCTTCTGCTTTACAGTTTACACGATTGAGACTGCTTCTATCATATCTGAGGTGTATGTTACGTTATACGAGAATTCAGCTTTAAACCATTGATCATTTTGACTGAAACAATTTTGCATGACAGTACACACAGTCTCACAGCAGGTCAAAGGTTTGCATATATTTCTGCACTTTTATGCAAAGTCTGCTTTTTTATATATCTAAATGTGTGCGTGGAAAATGACTTGTACATTTTTGTGTGTACACACACATCATACACAAGACCCATGAGGTTTATTTTCCTAAGTGTAATCAGAAATGATGTCCATGCACTGCCCCTTACCCAGAATCTACACCTCCATCCTATAAACAGCTTTAGTCTGGGCTGCATGAAGATGCAGCAAAAGGAAAGGCCAACTTGGCTTTGTCAACTAAGTTAACCTCGTAGCCCTGACCTCAAGCTGCCCGCTGCGGGAATCATCCTAATTGCATTCTTCCAGCCAATCAAGGACAAGTGTGTGAGACAGAGGGCCACAGTGACCCAAAGCTTATGCAGAGAGAGAAACTACTATTAATTCAGAAGAGCTAGCTCATGCAGCACAACTGTTTGTGAGACCGAGGCCGACTGAGACCAAAAACAGATGTGGTCACAAAGTATGCCAAATGAAAATAGACAAAAAGAGCCAAACGTAAATTAAAGAAAACCTTTTTTCTTTAATGCATGAGAAGTAAACTAAGACTTTAGGTGTGTGCCTTGTTATGACTTGGGGCCCGTCCTTCCTTTCTCCCGTCTGAAACAGCCCTTTCTTTGTCTCCTCTCTTGACTTCCTGTTTCATCTGGAACCAATTTCCCCCTCGTGCCTCGTCCCCCGGGAGAAAGGCTCTCCTTGGTGTGCCACATTTTCTAGGGAATGGACATGCTTATATTGAGCAGAGCATGACGTTGAAAAGCTGCTGGTCATCTGCACAGCACAGAGAGGTCCGTTCAGAGCCAAACCTTATATAGAGAAACTCTCCCCCATTCAAGTTCAGTATTGGTTTTCTATTTTTCCACAAACTTATTTGTTTCTGGGGGCTGAAATGTTGAAAACACATATTTTCCACAGTCAAATCGAGGGTTTCTTCACTTGGATAGTGATGAGAACTCAGGGCAGACAAAAGTACTATGATTGTGAAATTAAATTACAGTGAACAGAGTGGAGAATAAAAAAAGAAAAGGAAGGAGAGGAGGAGGTTACAGAAAGAAAGGAAAAAAATACAAGGAGGGAGGGCAGGGAGGGAGTTTAACAACATCTGGAATCAATCTGTCTGCAAAAGAGGAGGGGAGCTGGATAGAGAGATGGGGGGAAGGTCAGACGACGAAAAAAGAATGAGAATAAGAGCACATACACGAGAAGGAATGTGGGGGGAAAAATATGGCCAAAGCAATGAAAGGGGAGTAAAATTTAAAAGAAAACATTTGCAAATCGGAGACAATGAGTCATAAGTGAAGAATGCCATGTGATTTCTATTTTATTAAGGGGTTTGGGAAGAGGAGGACTCGGGTTCTGAACTTAAACACACACAAGTGCAGACGCGCATATTTCTCAATGCGTCTTTGCTCTAAATAAATCGTGTTAAAAAAAAAGTTTATAAAATCTGCCCACCCTGATGCCTGCCACACGGTTTTAAACAAACAAATCAAAACGCGCTTTCAAGTTTCCATTAAGTTTACTCCAAAGCTGGTGAGCAGGGAGGAGGCTTTGAAGGCGTTGGTTCCAGACTGCACTGGCAGAGATCAGGAGGGAGGAGAGAAAAAAAGCCCAGAAAACCCGTCATTGACTTATAAACACACTCTCCCTCTTTCCGTCCTCCTCTAGGACTCTAAAACTTTTTAGGGCGTTTCTTCTATTTAGTTTCTCCCTCTTCAAACTTCTATTTTAAGACTAGAAGTTGGAAGTTACTGAAGCAAATGAGTAGAAGGAGGGATGGTGAAGGAAGGCAAACTGGCATGAGGTCAACAGATGGTGAGAGAGAGGAGGACGGGGGAGAGGGGGTAGTTAAGATAGATGGCTGCAGGCAACTGGCGAGCTTTATGGTGTGAAGACCGCCAAATTAAAAAAGATACAGCTACCATCAACCAGTCATCACACAGGTCCTAAAGTTTACCAACAAATAACTCATTAAATCAGTTCTAGACAACTAGGCTGACAAATATTTGGCACGATTAGTTTTTTGTTTACTGTACAGTTTTTGTCTGAACTTTAAAAGAACTAATGGAAAAAGAAGAGCAGTTCTTACAAATAACTTTAGAGCAAGGCTATTCTACAAAACTGCTCAGGGCACATATGTCAAACTCAAGGCCCAGGGGCCAAATGTGGCCCTCGTTGACATCTGGCCCCCAAGATGATATGTTAAATGTAAAATACTTTTTTCACTTGATTTTTTTCAGTAAACTTTGATTATGATGTCAAAAGTGCAACAGAGAACGTCAAATGAGACCAATCAAACTCTTTTTTGAGGAACATGCAACCAAGAAATGATGTTGGATATCTAACTTGAGTTAATGTAGATTCTGAAACTGACCTTTAGTTTTAAAAAGGTTTTAATTTTGGCCCCCTTTTGTAAGTGAGTTTGACACCCCTGGCTCAGGGGGCCACACTTTCTGAAAGCCAACATCTCGGGGGCCAGACATCCTGCGATTAAAACCGTTATGTAAATAAAATAAAGTTTACAATGATCTGTTGCCTTTTAAATTTGTTTATTTTATTGCATTCAATCATAAATGCAATAAGCAGAACCCAAAACCCAAACCTAGAACCCCCCCCACCACCACCACCACCAAAAAAAATTTATTATGAAGTGGGCCAGATTCAAGTCATGGCCGCCAGTTGAACATGTAGGATTTTAAGAATGGTGTGGCAAACTAGTTGCCTGCCTTTTAAAATTGTTCCTTTTACATGTATTTCTTTAAGGCTTAGGTTGCTATTTTTAATCGGCTTTTCACACTTCAAGAGATCCAAACTATTCTTTTATTGCTTCGTTTTAAAAATCGCCACCTACTTAGATGCAAATCTGATAAAACCCTTCTATCAAGTTCACTTTTTTCCCCTATTTGGATTACAACCAAAATGTGCGTATACATCCCAGGTCTGTACATACTATTTTATGCATATTTAAATAAACAATAAAAGTTTTAACATGTGATTAAACCTGTGGAACATTTTTTTTTCTTCTATTAACCAATCAGCAAATCTGAAGCAGTTATTGAAAAAGTAAAAAAAAAAACATCACATTTGTTTTTGTTCTATTATTGGGCTCTATGCAAATTGCTTTATATCACCAGAGAATGCAGCATAGGCTACATTGTTCTTGGTTGTTAGTAAAAGTTCAGATATTTTAACTAAAATACACAGAGGGAAATCCACTGTAGTGAGCATCCATAAAAGAAAAATCAGCTAAGTAGAATGACCTTCTATCTCTAAGGATACATGTGATATTACATATTAGCATGTTGTTTAACCTGAATTTACAGAGTCTGGCTTTAATCAAACACAGCTGTTTTCATTTTGTCCAAATGCAAAAATAAATAGATAAAAATGTAGCCGTATAAAAGTCTAGCTGATGTAAAAATATTACTGACTGAGCTGCAGGCAGAGCTAAATGCTGAAAAACAACACATGGCTAAACCACAAGGCAGAGCAGAAAAGCTCAGATTACACCATACATACTAGGAGAGTAACTCCTAGCATGAATTGTGGCTTTTTGCACTCTGCTCCATTTCTACTTTTATTTATGTTCGTTGCTGTTTTAAGTTCAAAGTTTTGTATAATCCATTTTTAAAGCCACAAAAATGCATTGTTTTTAAAACCGCAAATGAGTTCTAA